AGTGTTGAATCAATCACTTTGGGAAAATATACAGTAAAATTGAGGATGCACTGATTACTATACGGTGTGAAAACACGGTTCCTACAAATTTTCACGATAGAAGAAAAACACAAACTTACCTCGAAATTTTATAAATAAACCGCTGTTTCAGTTGATACTTTACATATACCTATGATTTTTTTTATATCAACTGAACTAAATATAATATGTATACTATACGATATACATTTTTCCAATGGGCTTTAATTACGTCTGTAAAAAAAATTCTGTAATAAAGCCAGTGTCCATGCTGCTCAAGCCAAGCAAAATGAATCGTATTAGTACGGGAATAGTTATTTTTAGTTAGTTTTTATTCACGAGTCTCGACGCTTTTTAAGTCTCGAGGAAGACTAGAGACAAGTGAAAATGACAAATCCGGAAGTGTATCAAACGACGTTTTCTAATACATTTGCGAAAAAACTACATTGAAAGCATTGACTTACAATTATATGGACGTCGGGTCCGCGCTAAAAAGTGTCCGCACTTGTAAGGCGCTAAAATCGTATACAGAGCGCGACACTCCGCTTTAGTCTTCATTTGTTCTACGGACAGCGCGATACTGCGATGACATAACAATTGAAATTTCGAATAGGTTGACTTGGGACATTTTTTTCGTGGTTTTTGTATTAGACCCGTCGTCCATTTATTTGTAAGTCAATAATTGAAAGTAAAATAAAACAGTATTTAAAAAAAGTAAATGTAAAAAGTGAAAAAAGTTAGTACTTTTTAATTGGCCAACTTTATTCAATATGGCAACAGTTGCCAGTATTCAGACCCATTAAAATTACTATTTTAGTGGCGCGACGCGCAGCCGTCTGGCGATTACGCGTGAGTATTAACTCTCCTCCGGTCATTGTTAATACTCAATCAGCCATCTTTATGGAAAATATTTTGGTATTTTTAAATGTAACCCGTTGTTTTATAAAACACCTATGCAATTTAAACAAGTAAGATGATTATAAGTACATATAAGTTTTAATGACGAACGACTTACGTCACAAAGCGCATAAATATTAAATAAATATACAACCTCTTTAGTTCTATGTTTAAGACTTCTAACAATAGTAAATTTTTTTTAAATGCAAAAGTAAAAAGCACTAATGCGAAAAATCCAACTTTCGGCACAATTTGTAGTACGAAAAATACCACGTTTTGAGCAACTGTATTAAAAAAAAATTATCTACACGTTAAATTTAAATTGAAACTACGCCACTAACGATAAGACGGTCCGAAGTACAAGCTGTTTACGCAAAATGATATTGATTATACATCATTGTATGACACCATCAACCGATCTAGTAACCTAATTAGTTAATTACAAAAGTGCCTTATATAGTTAACCTAGTGGAGGATGGAAACTTTGATACCCCACTTTTCTCTAATAAGAAAAGATTAGAAATTTGATCTTGTAAACATTGAGCTCATCATAATTTAAACAAGAACTAAAAGTACTAGGACAAGAGTACTTTAAAAGCTTGACACTTGAGATTTTAATTCAACTTTATGATCGTCTGATAACAACGGCTCAAAGTGTCATATTTGATTGTACAGTAGGTACTATTTTCTAAAATACAAAATACGAAGCTATGCTAATTATAATCATAACCATAGTCATCTTTATTTGCTTGTAACACTGTTTTACAAAGATCCTAAATATATTGTTCCTATACATGTGACACCCTGCAAGGGCACTGCAAATTTAGAGAGCAATACAAAATAATGTGAAGCAATCAAAACTTATTTTAATATGAAACAATGATTGAATATTAATTACTAAATAATGATGAGATGGCACTTGAATTTATTTAAAAATTTCTTCTATTTTAAAAAATGCTTCCTAAATTATTTTTTTTAAATTCGTGATGTATTTCGATAACAAAACTTTTCCTAGTTTTTTATTTCATTTGGTACACTTACGTAATTATACGGAGGTTGACGGTTTCATTTCAATGAACTATCGTATTTTATTTTGACGTAATTTTAAAATTACATTTGATTAGGCTATTGCAATTTAAACTTTATTTCAATGGTTTAGTTTTCAAGGTTAATATTCGTCTAAGGTTGCACTTTGATATTCAATATTCTTTTTTTTTATAATACCAAGTGAAGGGACGAACAATTCGTGGGTCTGGTGGTAAACGACACGCAAAGATCTAATGGGCACTGCCACTGCCCGTTACCCTGAGACATAAGTTGATAAGTCCCATGTGCCTGTAATTTCACCAGCACCCCTACTCTTCAAAACCGGAACGCAGTAACGCTTACATTACTGCTTGGCGACAGAAGTAGGTAGGTAAGGTTCCTGGACGAACTCTTTCACAAGGAGTTCTACTGCTAGTATATCAATTAAAATTTTTGGTTTTCTTGAAAACACATGAACATTGTAACCGTGTTTAACAAATTAACTAAAAATATTCGTAAATGAGTCACCACACTTATTACAGCAGAATCGGCTCGAGCCGGTTAGAAAAACCTTTATGTTTTTTTTTTAACGCACACACTCAACATAGCCCCGCACTAGGGAAACCCTGTGTCGCCGGTGCCATGGACACACACATAGACAACCACAAAATACACCCAAACTCACGAGATAAATAATTGTAGGCCATACAACTATTTCTCCCGGCCCGGGAATCGAACCTGGGACCTCTACGTGGCAGTCCGGCATGGTAATCGTTCGGCCACGGAGGCCTTATGTCCATGTAATAAGAGCGCAAAAGTCATAAACTGTGGTTGGCGGAGTTTATTTAATGGTTTATTGCACAGATAAATCATCATCATCATCATCATCATGGCGTCCGTTTTCATACCTTTAACATTGGTCCTATTATGGATCCAAGCGTTGCTCTCTCGTTCTCTCAGGGTTACTCCGAGCATTGTTCTCTCCATGCCCCTCTGCGCAACTCGGAACGTCTAGGCGGACTCTTTGCAAAAGTCATGGTTTAAAACAGATAAAATCACATCTGATAAAAGGAAAACATATACAATAGGTTCTGCGTCTTTGTAAAAGAAATTTATCCTGCGGACCTGAATACATGATACAATAACTAAAATAACGGCCTTACCTGCACAACGAAACAAAAATTATGTAATGCAAAACAATATAAATAGCATTAATGTATTATAAAAAGCGTATTTTATAATATAATACCTAAGATATGTATGAAATGGTGGATAAATAATTATTGGTGTTGTTTACACTATTTGTCACTTATAGTTATTTACTATTTGTAATGTGTTGTTTGTTGACCCCAATAACAAAAAAATAAAAAGTCGTGCGATTCACTTCTGTTTGGGTTGCCTTCTTTTTCGCTCTGATTATTTTATAGGTTTCCCAATTTTTAGGCTCGCCTTAGGCAAGATAAAACAATTTCAACGCTCACCATCACAAAAAATAATTGAAAACACCATTGACTTACAATTATACGGACGTCGGGTCCGCGCTAAAAAGTGTCCGAACTTATAGGGCGTTAAAATCGTACACAGAGCGTCATTCACGCTTTAGTCTTCGTTTGTTCGACTGACAGCGAAGCAAGCAAAATTAGACAGTAATGCGATGACATTACAATTTAAATTCAACGTTTTAGCTTTTTCATATTCCTTTACATGTCACTACGTTTAAATAGGTTGACTTGGGACATTTTTTTCGTGGTTTTTGTATTAGACCCGTCGTCCATTTATTTGTAAGTCAATGGAAAACACGTATTTTTTATATTAACTTAACACAAAAAATCACAAGGAAAAAATATACCAATATGTGTTTTACGTTCGTTTTACGTTTGCTGCTTAATGCGGTTCCTTGTCGGCAAATTCGATGACTCACTTATTGTTCCGATACAAACATTATACTTAAAATTAATTTTTATCGCAATTTTATTTTTGAAAATAACTATATTCACCTGTCGAGTTCTTAGGTTTTCGCGATTGTTGTAACTATCAACCGTGACCATGGGACCCTGTAAAGGGCCCGAAACGTTGATTTATTTGAAAAAAGAAATATACACGATTTAAATTCGGAAAAATAGTTGCATTTCCTATATATTCACCTGTTTGAGTTTAACTGCAATGTTTACTGGTAGAAAATAGTACATACTGTAAGTAAGGTTTTTTCAAAATTATAATTTTATGCTTCTCATGTGAACTTATACGATAAGGCACAATATAATTATTACGAGTATTACTCATCGTGTCCGCAACTAATTTATTTCGTTAACTCGGAAAATACTTGTATCACTTGCGCTGCACCACATAGACAAATGGATATAGTATACCGTTCACTTATGATTGTCAACAAAAAAAATTGAGGGTAGTTTAACCGAATAACACTGACATTGTTGCCGCCCGAGTTAGTAAAATACGCACAAAAAGTTTGCAACCGGCGCGTATGTTTATTGTGTATACATATTTCTGAGAACGATGCAAATATTACTAAAAACCTAACAAATTCCATAGTTTTAAAAGTGGATACATATTTATGATAAAATGATATGGATACATATATTTAACACCAGAGGTGTATACTTTTCACTGGTTGTAGTTTGTTCACTTTTCTTTGAAATAAAAGTATACAATTTTTGAAATAATGTCGTGATTACATATTTTTGAAACCAGCACAAGGTTACATATTTTTGAAATATCTGATGTTTACATATTTTCGAAAATAAGTGAACGTATACATTTCAGTGCACGCGACTGTACGTAAAGTTAACACAGCGCCTACTACTGGACATTTTTAAATTGAACTCCATCGACCAAATCGAAAAGAGAGCTCTAAAGAGTGAATATTACAAGCACTTGACTTTGGCTTTATCTACCTTCTTTTTCTTCTTCCTGACCTTATCCTACGCTAGTTGGGGTCGGCAGAACGATCTAAATTTCCTAAAGCTCTTGATATAATAATAAAAGGCTCTAATGTTGCATATTTAATTTCATTTTACTTTTGAAGCATCTGGGCGAACACCATGGCAGCACTAGCGGTCGGTATAGATCTGGGTACGACGTACTCCTGCGTAGGAGTATTTCAACACGGCCATGTGGATATCATTGCGAATGATCAGGGAAATAGAACTACGCCGTCATACGTTGCCTTTAATGATACAGAAAGATTGATTGGAGATGCTGCTAAAAACCAGGTACCAAAAAGTCAGGACTGGTAGTGATTTTATGGAGTAATCAGGTGCTATATTTTTACTTTATGGAGTTTCATAATCCGAAAGTCCTTTAGTACCTAGGTACCTATTGAAACGTAACCAACTTATTCTTTAATTATTTAATCTCTTAAATATGGAATTATTTTCATTCATTGTTTAATTTTATTCGGTCGCTACGCGAACAAAACATAGTGATCGTCAAATTGCATAAGTTGATTATGAATCGGCACGAACGAACAACTGCAAACAATTGACCTATTTTGAAGAGCGGCAAAATACAATGGACTACTTTTGGCTCCGTGATTGGATTGTCAGGATTTTAATATTTCGAATCCATATTTTGCCTTTGCATTTCTATAAACTTGACTAGCATATTCAGGAAACTCATTTTCCAAAATATGTAGTGTAAAGGAGGGAGGTTCTTCGTCCGTCGGATGAGGTTACCAAAACAAGCCAAGTGAATAGAGGTGGGTGATAAATAACGTCACGATGAAAAAATCACGATGATCCGCCGTCAAACAGTATTATCGTGACTCGTTCCGAAGGAACGACGTTCCAAAGTCACATAGGTGTTCCTCCGTTCCAATAGCTATCCCCGTCACTCACATCACGACATACGTATTTGATACAATACGCGATCTCCGTTCCGCGGTGACTGAGCGCACCACTCGTTATATTTCTTTTCAAATCGGGCCATTTCGGCGATGGGAGTGAATGAAATAGGATGACTTTCTATGCTCATTCACAAGTGTCGTAGGTGCTTACACTACTAGAAAGGGCGGATGAAAAAAATATGCAGCAGTTATTATAAACCTATTTATGAACAAAGTAAAATATTTTTGTAAATTTGTTTTATTATAGGAAGAGTTGGTATTTTACATTTATGTATAATCTACTTTGTGTATTCTACTAGAAATATAATTACATTACACTTTATTGCTATTTTTTACAATCCAAAGATTCGCATTAAATAAGTAACAAACAAAATTACATTAAATACAAAATCGACTTTTTGAATGAAATTGAAACTTATTACAAAGGGAGTAAAAACTTAAATCATTCTATAAAAAACGGCTATAAGTATTAGAAAGAAGCCGGTGGCTAAAACCGTATATCGTGATGTAAGTTATAGGCGTGACAAGGTCAAGGAAGTAACAGTCGTGACAAAATCACGATGATTTATCACTGTGGTTTTTTTGGAACCGGAACGACGACGGTCACGGCGATAGAAATGTAAAGCTATTCCCCATGTCTGCAAGTGAATTGTTCAGAAGACTTTTATTTTCACCTTGTATGTCGCCAATACAATTTCACCCTATATGCGAAGGTCCGGGCAGTTGTTCCCAGAAGGGACTCGACTCCTGTTTGCCTTACTGAGCTGTCTGTATTCTCAGATTTCTCTTCACATTAACAAAATTGTATTCGAGTAGTCACCATTCGAGGGAAAATCTTAACACCGCGATTCAGAAATAACGCCAAATGGGTCAATGCCATCTAGCGGATTCTAAGAGAACTATAGTTCTAAAAGTTAGAACTAAAAGTGAACAATCTGGCTTAAGGCCGTCTATTACATAAAGTAGGTTTGTTACAGTAGTAATTTTCTATTTACGTTGCAGGTAGCTATAAATCCTAAAAACACTATCTTCGATGCGAAGCGATTAATTGGCAGGAAATTTGACGATCCAACGTTCCAGCAGGACAAAAAACACTGGCCGTTTCTGGTGATCAATGACGGTGGTAAACCAAAAATACAGGTAGAATATAAAGGACAAACCAAAAAGCTGTCCCCGGAAGAAGTATCCTCTATGGTTCTATCGAAAATGAAAGAAGTAGCTGAAACGTACCTAGGAGCAAAAGTCAATGACGCAGTCATCACAGTCCCTGCATATTTCAATGATTCTCAGCGACAGGCCACAAAAGACGCTGGGTCAATAGCAGGCCTGAATGTTCTGAGGATTATCAACGAACCAACTGCGGCAGCGCTCGCTTACGGTTTGGATAAAAATTTAACAGGAGAAAAAAATGTCCTTATTTTCGACCTGGGCGGTGGCACTTTCGATGTTTCTATACTAAATATAACTGAAGGTTCGTTATTTGAAGTCAGAGCAACATCAGGAGATACTCATTTAGGAGGCGAAGACTTTGATAATCGATTAATAGATCACTTTGCACAAGAATTTGAAAGAAAGTATAAGAAGAAATTAAAGAGTAGCCCTAAGTCCATAAGAAGACTACACACAGCTTGTGAACGAGCTAAGCGGACGCTGTCTTCAAGCACTGAAGCAAGTTTAGAAGTAGATGCCCTCTTTGAGGGTATTGACTTTTATTCAAAAATCACGAGGGCGCGATTTGAAGAATTGTGTTCTGATTTATTTCGATCAACCCTTACTCCCGTAGAGAAGGCTTTAAAAGATGCTAAACTTAACACGAGAGAAATCCACGATGTGGTTTTGGTCGGCGGTTCAACGCGAATCCCAAAAATCCAAAGATTAGTACAGGTAATAAAGATCATAGATCTTCGTCCCGCTTTATAGCCCACATTAATAATAATCATAGATTTTGTACAGGATTTCTTCAGTGGTAAAACCTTGAACTTATCTATCAATCCGGATGAAGCCGTCGCATATGGAGCTGCAGTGCAAGCTGCTATCCTTGCAGGTTCCAAAGACACTCGTATTCAAGATGTATTACTAGTGGATATCGCTCCATTGTCTCTGGGAATAGAGACGGCTGGAGGAGTCATGACAACACTGATTGCGAGAAACACGAGGATACCTACTTACCAGAAGCAAATATTCACAACCTATTCAGATAACCAGCCAGCTGTCACAATTCAGGTTATATATCTCTAAAATGTCCAAGGTTACAGTCACGTTTATAGTCAAAAAACTGATAAAGCCAAATTACTACTTCAGGTGTATGAAGGAGAACGAGCGATGACAAGAGATAACAATATGTTGGGCACGTTTAATTTGACAGGTATACCACCTGCACCAAGAGGATTACCACAAATCGAAGTAAGTCGTTAGCTTTTATATATATATCATGATATTGCTGATCGATTGTATCCGATAGTTTAAATACTCGGCTTTGGAGCGTATATACAAAAATTAAAAAAACTTTATTCCAGGTAACGTTCGACATCGATGCCAATGGAATCCTGAACGTAACCGCAGAAGATAAGAGCACTGGTCGCTCTCAAGGCATCACCATATCCAATGATAAGGGACGACTGTCCAAACAAGATATACAGAAGATGCTGCACGATGCCGACAAATACAAGGCTGAAGATGAAATGGTTAAAAAGAAGGTTGAAGCAAGGAATGCCCTCGAAGGTTATTTGTTTGGATGCAAGACGGTATGATACTTTTATTTTTTAGCCCCGACGCAAAAAGAACGTTATGTCTGTGTATGTATGACTGTGTTTAGCATGGTAGCTCCTAAACGGTTGGACCGATTTTAATTTAATCAGGTTTGTTCTTACCTATGTTTGATAAACTCTGTTCATCTGTTTAATGATTAACACCAGCTCTTTAGTTATTGTAGTGATCTCAGTCCTAAAATGAATACCTATTTCTATTTTCACTTGTCCGATTGACTTGAAATTGATACACTATGGAAATCCGATGACATTACTATAATATGGTATCCTTGATACATGGAGTATATAACCAGATATAATCGATGCCTCGAATTGATGCCTCTTGTACTTTTTTAACATTTTTGATGCCAGTGCTGAGCACGCGTTTTTCTCCAATACTTAGACCGTAGTCTTGGTTAACCCAATTTAGGGTTGAAAATGATGATGATATGTGTCCATACAGTGTTGCTACGGTATGGTTACCTACCGTAACTGGTTGGTGGTTACATGTAACTGATAGTTGATAATTTGACGTTTTCCAGCATGGTAGCGTTAGTTTCTTTTTTTTCCATTTCAGGGATTTAAATTAATAGCACTGTATGCTTTATTTTAGTTTAGCGTACACGAGTAGAACTCCAACTGCATCGCAACTCGTATACATAAGGAATAGGATAAGTAAAATTTTTACTTTTATATTATTTTCAGGCAGTAGAAGTAGCTGGTAATCGCGTAACAGAAAGTGAGAAGCATACTGTGATAACGGCGTGCAACGAACAGCTTAAGTGGCTCGAACAAAATCCAGACGCGTCGATAGGAGAGCTAGAATCACACTTGAAAACTGCTCAAAATAAATGCCAATCTACTATGATGAAGTTGGTGAATACAACTGGTATTGGCATGGGTCCTCCTGGAGCCATGGCAGGTCCTCCTGGTGGCATGGGAGGTCCTACTGGTGGTATGGGGGGTAGCAGAAGAAGCTCTGGTGGACCTAGAGTCACTGAATTATAAACTACACTTTAACAGGACATTCCTATCAATATTAAAATGAACGTTTAAATGTATAACGATGCTGCGAGCTTATCGTGAGGCAGCAAGGTTTTTTATAATAGTGTTAAAAGAAAAGTATACAAGTTGCTAAATTCTTTGTAAGCAAAAATACGTATTTAATGTCTCAATGAACTCATAGAAAACTGAACTTGAAAAAACTTCCGAAAGTGTAAATTAGTACCTAGCTGTAAGACAAATTTGATTTTAGAGAATATTTTAACGCACTACTGTTACAATTATGAAATTAAATACTACTTATAGAACAATTTTATTCTTTATTTCCTTTGTCCCTTTTGCTAAAAATGACAATTACAATTACAATTAATTGAAAGTTTAATCATTTAAGATAGAAATGAAAAATAAGTAAATGAAACTTTTGGTGTACAATGGTATAAGATTACAGCCAAGTGACAGTTTTGTTTATCGTGTATTTAAGGAGGAAAATAAGGATCGTAGAAAGTATAAAATAAAGACGTTAATTTTTAATATAAATCGTTTATTAGAAAATACAACAATATGTCAAACAAGTTAGTCTACAACATAGGTTCCCAAACTTTTTGGCTCACTGCCCACTTCGGCAAAATGAGATTTCAACGCCCACCATCACAAATTAAAACACGTATTTTTTCACAAAAAATAAAAAGTATTTAATATTATTTGCATTCAGAGAATTTTAACTGCCAAAAAAAGAAAAGTATGTAGTAATGAAATCTATTAAAATTACGTTGTTTTCAATTATTTTTCCGCATTTTCATGAAGAAAAATAAATAAAACAAGCTGAGTCTTGATTGTCACGTTGTGAATTCGGAATTATAGTATAGTGTCAACTGTTAGTTTTGCCAAGGCATATAAATGGCGCTGTCATAATTTTACGAAATGTACATCGCGTATTTTTATTTAACGAGAAATTATTTCCTACGTGCTGTTAAATAAAAAATAAACAATATATTGAAGAGATATGTGTAAATAAATAAGTTTAACTTTTAATCATTACAAATCAATATTAAGACAATAAGACTGATAATAATATTGTTTCCATTGCATCCGTGTAACTATTTTAAGATTGCTAAATTTGACGTAAGAGCAATATTACTTTAATGTTAAAGTCGCTTCATAGTACGAACTGAGTGAATGAATAGTCACAAAGCTGCCAATAAAGCATCATAGTTTTAATATTATAATAAGCTTACTTTAACCGCGTTATGGTACGAAAAGTCAATGTAAGGTTAAAGTAATATTGTTTCATATATAATCGTGGCAATGTTATATTTAAGCTCTTAATCATTAGATAAATCGTTATTTATTTGCTTTATAGCTATACGGTGGGTTCAATATGGCCCTCACGTCGCTGAACGCTATAGCCATCAGGCAGTAATAGCAGGCAAGGAATATGACAATAGCTCTCTATGGGTTATCAGAGCTCATCACGAAGACGATCTTATTCCTGGTAAACTTGCCATCACACACAAACGAGCATATGTTGCTTTTGGAGGCAATGAAGTGATCGTTCATAACTTCGAGGTAAATATATTATGTATAGCTGGTGCACGCGACTTCGTCTGCGTAGAATGAGTATTTCGAGTAGCCTACTGAACTATTATTATAATTTTCGTAGTTTTATTGGTTCTCCATACATACTTTCATAGCCTCATTCACTAACTTTGAGGTTTATTTTAGTGGCAAAAAGTGGCCTATATCTGTTGGGTAATTTTCCGAAAAATTTCAAATTGTGAAAATTTTCCCGGAAAATTGGAAAAATATAGTTTGGAAGGCTCATATTATGTTCTACGTTTAGAAATTATCTTTAGCGTGAATTATAAAATAAACTTGTATAGCTAAAAGGCGCACAAAGAAAAACGAGATTTAAAATGATTTCACAACAGCGGAAAAACGCCTGCAACAACCACACCACTACCACTTGTTGGCTCCATCGTTTTCGTCCAGCATGAACAATATAAAATGGAAATTTTTCCATGACCCAACACTATCCTGTGTGCTTATTCTTGGTCCAATGTATCTATATACCAAAATTAATCAATATTGGTTCAGCGGTTTATTAGGCGTGAAAACGTAACAGACAGAGTTACTTTTGGCAAAGTCAAAGACAAATAAACTTTATTTCACAAATATGCAAATTACACTTGAAATCCTCATACTAATTAAACTCTGCTGCTCATACGTAAGGCAGATTCCCCTGAGAATGTTTTTTTTTTTTCATTTGAATACGTTTATCATTACAATATTTAATTTAAACATCTTAGATCGATTAAACGGGTCACTACCACGGATTTTTGTCATGTCATTATATTATGTCCTCATACCTTCAGTATACAATTTTTGTTTCACTATTGCTTAAAAAACCTCGTAAATGGCAAATTTTGAATGTCAAATGGAATCTTATTATAGAAGCGTATACGTTGCCCCTTAAATGAATTTACTGTTTGAAATTTTGACTTTATGAAGACGACTTTCAAGTATAGATAGTTTATTTTTAATTCTCGTATTAATGTTATGTCTGTCACTTTTTTTCATGAAACAATTAATATTTTCCTTAATATAAATAACATTTTCATACATGTACTGTCTGTCACGTTAGTGTAAAATTTGAAACTTATCTCTCAAACACACTCTGGGGCCCAGATTGTAAATTGCCCTAACCGCACGTTTCTGCAGGACAAAGATTCTATCGCACTTATAATATTAGTTTGGATTTGGTTGGCAACGGCTGTGTTTATTTTTTTATTTATATACATTTATAATTAAGTAATAATAAATAAGTATTAACTCGACAAACAAATCATTTTAACGTATCTGTATTTTGGTTAATTTCAGGTGTTGTGTGCCCCGGCTCATTTAAAACGCTGGAAGCCAGCTAGCATGAGCGCAGTCCCCGCTGGAGCCATCCCAGGTGGCTATGCTAATAAAACTGGGGAAACACTATACATTGGCAGAGCGGAATATATGAACTCTCTTACACCTGGAAAGGTAAGCTCGATTTCGAGGATAGGTCAGAATCCACAGCAAACACTCGAATATATTTAAACCGACCTCGAAACGCGTGACAGAACTTTAATTTTTAATTTTCTTATTAATATTTAAATCTATTTTTGTATTCACTACTACTACATTACTAAGCAAAAACTCTTATTACACTACCCAATATTTAGGGCCCTGCGTGAAGGGTGGGCGTGGCCCCTTGTTATTGAGCCCTAACTCATTCTGAACACGACGGGACAGGGACGACAAGCATAGAAATAAACGGAGAAAAGTTAGACCTTGTTAATAAAGCAGTCTTCTTGGGAGTGACCTTAGATAGTAAACTTCAATGGTTTCCACATATAACTTCTCTGGCCAGCAGATTAAGCTCCGCTGCATACGCAGTCCGCAGAATACGTGAGCTTACCGATGTTAGTACTGCTAGACTAGTTTACTTAACTGCTTCCGTGGCCGAACGGTTACCATGCCGGACTGCCACGCAGAGGTCCCAGGTTCGATTCCCGGGCCGGGAGAAATAGTTGTATGGCCTACAATTATTTCTCTCGTGAGTTTGGGTGTAATTTGAGGTTGTCTATGTGTGTGTCCATGGCACCCGCGACACAGGGTTTCCCTAGTGCGGGGCTATGTTGAGTGTGTGCGTTATTTATTATTTATTTATTTACTTTAGTTACTTCCATATTATAATGTCCTACGGGATTCTCATGTGGGGTAAAGCGGCAGATATTCAAACCATATTTGTATTGCAAAAACGAGCGATTCGTTCTGTGTACCGTCTAGCTAGGCTCTCGGGTTTCTCTCAAAGAAAAGTTTAAGGAGACTGGTATCATGACTGTGGCATCACAGTACATTTACTCAAATATTTTATATGCCCGTAAAAATATACATAATTTCAATAAGAAAGAAGATATCCATAATATTAACCTTAGAGCTAAATCCAAACTCATGGTACCACGATTTCGTTTAACCAAGGTAAACAACTCTTTTATGGGGAACTGTATACGTCAACAAGACTTTTTACAACAAGATTCCGGAGCATATATTAAGTTTATTATTTCCTAAGTTTAAAAACTGCATTAAAAATATTTTGATCGAAAAATCATATCAAAATTGAAGACTACGTGTTAGATAAAGAAGTATGGAAAGACGACATGGCTCCAGAATCCACACAAATTTGATACAAAGTGTATTCCATAGCATTTAAGTTTATTTGAAAAGAACAATCCCTAGAGTTTCTTGCTCGTTCGTCTCAGGGAGGTCAGCGTAGTGAACGAGCAGTAGCTTAAATGTGACGTTTTCAAGTGTAAATTTATTTTAGCTGTGGAATAAATAAACTTAAATTTGACTTTGACTTTGACGGTCTATAGCGTTGTATGTTACTAACATGGCGTCATCGAAGCTTGTTGTTTCTCGATGAAATTGTTGTAAATTTCAAATAAAACTTTAAACCGTAGGTACATGTTTATTAATATAGTCTTTGTGATCTTTTTCCATAAACAGGGCAAGTCTTTGTACATGTCTATCAGGCACATATCTTCTTTTTCTGTACTGTATGACATGTCGATAGCAAAACAAAATGGATGCGCGAACGTGAGGGACGAAACGATATGGCTGCTCTCCGCGTTTCTCGCGCGTCGACTGCACTCCCTAACTGCCCTGTGTTATTACACTGCCTGTGCGGCAGAGTCGGCGCGGTAGATCTGGGGTCTTACCATGAACTCTTATTACGATTCAGTTTAGGACCTAAAATGAATCTTTGTGAGACAGTGCTACATGAAGTGTATATCACCATCCCGCTTTTACGTCGTTACGAACCAATACTGAATTGTAATAAGAGTTCATGGTAAGGCGCCAGGACGCCCTAAGTCGCCTGAATTAGGGAAACTAACTCCTATTACACGTCTCTAAGTTAGAGTCCCTCGAAATTGGGTAGTGTAATAGACGTTTAAAGACTCGAATGTCTTTGAAGAATTTTGTAATTTATTGTTTTTGTTGCGTTTCTGACAAACCAAACCCAAAAACTGTAAAAATAAAATCATTTGCCTTCTCAGGTACATCCCAGCCATCGCTGTTTGTTCGTTTCATTCGACGGCAGAGCAGTGCCTTTCGCACAGTATGAAGTTCTCTGCAGAATCTAATATCGAAAATTTACATATGTTCAGACGATTGTGGAACCAAAATTCATAAACGTTTA